CGCCCCGACTCCGCCCCCTGCCGGCGGGCCCGAGAACTCCAGCTTCAGCGGGGCTTCAGGTCCCTGGGCGGCCTCACCCAGCACGGCAGCCCACGCGCCGCGAGGGGCCACGGGGCCGCTCGCCAGAGCCTGCAGGGGGTCCCGGATCCTCGAGCCCGCACCAGGCCTTCTGCCCCCGGCTCCCGGGGGTCCCGGTGCCAGGTTGGGCGCATGTTGACTTCGCTGTCGCCCTCTGGACAGAGTCCCAGCCTGGCGGAGCAAGGACGCATTTGTGCTTCAGTGTGTCCCACACCTGCGTGTCTACACACCTGAGTGTACCCACACCTGATTGTATCCACACCTGAGTGTATCCCACACCTGAGTGTCCCCGTATATCTGAGCGTGCCCCTCACCTGAGTGTACCCACACCTGAGCGTGCCCCTCACCTGAGTGTGCCCCTCACCTGAGTGTATCCCACACCTGAGTGTACCCACACCTGAGTGTATACACACCTGAGTGTATCCCACACCTGACTGTACCCACACCTGAGTGTGTCCAACACCTGAGTGTGCCCCTCACCTGAGTGTACCCTCACCTGAGTGTACCCACACCTGAGTGTACCCACACCTGAGTGTATCCCACACCTGAGTGCATACACACACCTGAGTGTGCCCCTCACCTGAGTGTACCCTCACCCGAGTGTATCCCACACCTGAGTGCACACACCTGAGTGTGCCCCTCACCTGAGTGTACCCTCACCTGAGTGTACCCTCACCTGAGTGTATCCCACACCTGAGTGTACCCACACCTGAGTGCATACACACACCTGAGTGTACCCACACCTGAGTGTATCCCACACCTGAGTGTACCCACACCTGAGTGCATACACCTGAGTGTGCCCCTCACCTGAGTGTACCCACACCTGAGTGTATCCCACACCTGAGTGTACCCACACCTGAGTGTACCCACACCTGAGTGCATACACACACCTGAGCGTGTTCTCACCCGAGCATCTGCACACTGCGTGCTGCGGTCCCC